ATATATATATATATATATGTTATACAAAATATTGACATATCGAATGTAATGCATAATAAATAGTATATTTTATTATTATAAATGAATGATATTAACAGTTTGACTGTAAGTATAATTTTATTGAGTTTGTTCTTGCAATATATTAATAGATTTCCCAGGACAATCATAATTTTGGAACAAGCTCAAGTTTTCTGCAAAATGATTTTGAGAGAAATGCAAATTTTGTCGATTTTATATCTATGTTTAAACTACATGAATTCCATTTTTAAGAATGGAATATCAATACTTATCTTTGTGATTTTATTAGATGTTTAATATTTTAATGTAGTTTTGCTAAATGGATATCATGTTACTTATTAATTTAAAAAAAAAATAAGGAACTAAGAAGAGCTGAAAAGAACAAAGAGTTTCGATAAAATTTATCTTTTACATATAATTTAATCTGAATTATTCGTACAAGATACAAACATTTTTCTAATTATATAAATTTATATCTTAATTTTTTTGAAACATTTTTTTCGATTTTATGCTCAAATAACTTTAATTTAATTTTGCAGAAGAATGGCATTTTATCTATCTTTTTTCTCTTTTTTAGGAATGGAAGAAATGAAACTTAAGAAAAGAAGATATACACGTTAAAGAAATGTGTATATTTTCAACAACAGAATGCAGATGTTCCTGCCTTCTATATTATAAATTAAGAAATATTATTTCCACATGTAATCTTGATAATTTTACAACTCTGTTCAAATTCTTTATTAATTGATATATAGATGATGATAATAATACGCGTTTAACATCATGATCTACTTACTAGCGCTTTAAAAAGATTTTTTCCTTGAGACATTATTTCTACATGATTTTTTTATACATATTCAATATTTTAATTTCATTTATGTAAATGAATTTGTTATACGCATACAGGGAATGAATTTCTTATAAGTTATCCATCGAAAGCATTTTAAGTTAAAAATTTTTAAATATCTGCTGAAATAAGATTTTAAGAAATTATTTGGGACATTGCCCATTTAATATCATTTTAATATCACTTCAATGCGAAATTGTGTTGTAAAGTTTTTCCGTATTTGCGAAAATGATTATTTGCGTATTGTCAAATTTGGTCTCGTATTTAATAAGAGAATCAGATAAATATTTTTAGAATCTTGAGAGACTGCGTTATATATAAACCACAATCGTATATAATTTTATTCATATTCGACGTTGAAATGCAGTAAATATTCGGCACGTTATTTAAATGCCATTAACTCAAAATAGCGCTTGCTGTTTCTTTTTGTGATTGAATCATTCGAGAACGCTATGATAAATCAACACTAAATTTCAAAAGTACAACGCTTTTTTAATGAAATTCTATTGCATTTTCGAGAAGTATAGCATTTATTAATAAAAATACAAAGGCGTTCTCATATGTAGTATTGTTACAAATATTTCAGTGATTATTATTGCTGCAGCAAAGCATTATATAATCATAATGTGATATTTTACAAATATTAAGATATTTTTTTAGAAACATAAGAAACCACGTACAATATATTTACAGCTAGAATCATTTTGTTCAAAAATACTAATGTCCATTTCAACGAATATCTTTTAATCTTGATCTAATTTTAATTTATTCTTTATTTTTCTAATTTTTAGAATTAAAAAAAGAAATAAAACTAAAATTGAAGTTAATCTATATTGACAGAAATGGACATAAAATATATATAATATGCCATGCAGTTACTTGCATTAATATTGAATTATTATTATAGTATCATTTCGATTTCTTCCTCATTTAAAATTCTATTGTTAATGTTTTGTACGTGGTTGTTCGTGTGATCGCAAGTATAATCGTCTGCATAATTCCTACATATATCCTATATTCTTTTATTCTCAAATTTTGCTACAAGTGCACGCATTCTTTCGAAAAAGAGACATGTTTACTCGGTAAATTAGAAACCGCTATCATTCCACCGACATACTATAAGTCATCGTTGCGATTATTTGTCATACCTTTGATTTTATGTAGCATTTTATTTGCGTATAATAATCGCTCTTGTACGGGAGCGATGCGAATAAAGTTGCCTGGGGAAAATTTGTATGGACATAATGGGTAAGTGTAACATATAAAATGCAACTCTATATTTAGTTATACTTAATTTTAAGTATATTATTTTTGCGTACAATATGATATGCATCTTTTTTGAAAAAGAAATAGACATTTCCATTTAATGTCTTTCGTAATGTCATCTGAAAAGGAAAGAAGAGATAACATATTTGTAAACAAATCGATGTACAAATCTAATTTGATATCTTGCAAACTATATTAACACGTTATTCACATTATGCTCGTATTGCTAAGATTTGACAACAAAAATTGTAACGTCTTTATTTTATTTATTATCTGTATTCATCTTTATTTTATTCATTATCATTACATATCCAAATTTGAAGTAATTGCTATATATAAAAGTGTTAAAAAAAATTGCATAACATTGAGCAACGTGTTAAGGTTTATACAAAGTGCTTCCTCTTTATATAATTTAATCTTTCTGTAATTGTCCGTTAGCAAAATCCATTAGCTAATTTTTAGGAGAAAATGTATATTGACAATACAAGTTCATTTCAGGAAACTATAATCCATATTAAATTTCAGGATAAAATTCTTTATAATTTTATATGCATTTTAAAATGTATATGTATATGTATTGTGTTTTTAATTTTTCAAATTTTCCGTGCATTATACGACACATAAAATTATAAATAAAAATTTTATTCTGAATTCTAATACAAATTATGGTCTGTCTAAAATGATTTTTATTTGTCAATATATATATTTTTCTATTTGTAGTATTCAAAACATGAAACTTTATTTTAGAAGTTTTGCACTTAATTAATGGCAATTGCTAGTATTTCTAAACTGTTCCAAATGTTAAGCATTGCCATCTTAATCTGCAAGAATGGAAGCATAAAAGAGCTAACTATTTAAAAAAAATTTCTGCTTCCAAATTGTGTTATAAAATTTATTAGAAATATTGAGATAAAATATTAATATTTTGCGATTTATATTGTAATAAAAATATCTTCTCTCTCCGCGATTGCAAGAAAAGACACTTGTTTTTAATACAACATGTGATTGTTATTCACTAAAAGAGAAGACAAAACGTCCATTTGTGAATGATTCAGTGTATAGTAACTCAATAATTTTGCTCAAAATCTAGAATTATAACGCTCAGTGGAATTATAATGCTCAAACTGTATAGCGTCACAGTTAGAATTTATATGTACTGATATAGAAAATGTTTTAACATTTTTAATATTTAACATTTTTCTATTTTTTTCTATAATTATATATAAAAGGATATAGATAAAAACATTATATAAATAAGTTATAACAAATATTATCTAGTCACATTGTGATAAAAAGGTCAAAGTCAAGTTTTATATATTTAATTGTCATTTGGACTGTGATATCGATATATGCACGTATACGAAAAAGTCTTATTATTAGATATTTTTCTAAACTTAATAATTTATATAATAATAAATCCTTTAGTTGTACGTTTATGTCAGAAGAACAGCACTCAATGCTATTGCATTGCGACATGTATATTAGAAATAATGATAGAGATCGTCAAGATTGATGTAAACAATTTTTGTATAAATTAATTCATATAGAATATACATGTCCGTATTTAAATGTCTACAGAGACTTTGCTGTAAGTATATACAGATCTGACACGAAAGTATATGCAAGTATATGAAAGTATATTATAGTTTCAATATATGTCCAATATTATGTTAAATTTCGAAAATCAGATTGATGTATCTTGAATGGCCGAGATTTTGAGTTTTTTCTTTGCTAAAAAAAAGAATAGTTTGCAAAATTACAAGATTTAAGAACTAGCTTTGCAATCTTTTCTAGTGTGTATAATTGATCACCTATGAAGTTGTATTTACACGTTACGTGTGTAATTGTAATATGTATTTCAATAACGTCAAATAAGGTAAGTGATAAGACAAATAATGTAATATTCATGTAAATCTGATGTACACTTATCTTTTCTATTTCTCACGAAACTTGATAAGCGGCGTCAGAGATGGAGAATATTCTGTTTTATATATTGTACACGCATATCTGATAAATCTGTACATGAGATGCCATAATCAATCGTTGCAATTGTGATGATATTACAAATATTACAAATTATCTTAAAATATGATATTATAAAAGTGATACATTTCAATAACAAACAGTAGTAAAAGCAGTAAAATCGAAAAATGTGTGCTCTACCAGACTGATAAAATAATAATTCTGTATTACATAGCTTTTGTCCTGTCTTACAGTCTGTATGACACTCTTCTGTATTGTCCAATTTCCGGCTGTGATAACGAATGTATCGAAATAATAAATCCAAGTATTTGCGTTTGATAGAAAAGAGAACAATATTTTTATTAGATAGGTGATAAATAATAAATTCAAGTACGTCCGAAGAGAGCTTTATTTTAAGAGGAAATGTACACGATGCGTGTGACTTCTCTATTTAACTCGTATTTACAGTAGTTATTGATGAAGATTGCATCTAGTAAGTTTTCTTTCTATCATACAATTTACATGATAGGCGTGACCGCAACGGAAGACCGCGATTCCGCTGTCACCTAATAGAATTGGCGTTTGTAAAGACAACGTGCAGCCTGGACACGTTAACGATTTAAGCTGATGACGCATACCCCAATGATGAGCACCTGTACCGAACACATTTCTATCTATCGGTCGCCTTAAGTCTTTTTCAAGAGCCTTTGCCAGTTGATCGCGTATCTGTGACAAGAAAAACAATATTTATTATTTTCTTATTTTTAACATTCACTATCTATATATTTGCGTCCTATCTTGTGAAGGGAAAAAGATTTCTTCAAATTGCTTAAGAATACAAAATGAATTTCTTGATCAATCTAATTGTTCGTTATTCATCGCAGGATGATCTTAATACTTTTTGTTCGAAATTATTTGAAAACAAATATAGAATTATTTTATATAAAGTATTTTCTATCAACAATTTCTTTTACAAAAAGATATTGAAAAGAAATAATCTGTTATATGATTCATAGTGTATATCAAAGTAAAGTGAAAATCTGAACAGTATCTTAATTTGATAAATGACAAACTAATGTGTTGCCTAATTATTTTTACAGAAGTGATAATAAGATTACCTGTGGTGAGCATATTGTACCAAATTCCGATGATAATTGATTAGTTTTACTAAAATTAATCGACTTCTTCACGCCTTGACGATATAGCATTTTTGTAAATATGATCGACTGGAATATACTGTAATAAAAATAATGCATTAACAACAATACTTAGCCGTAAACTTTTTACTCAAAATTACTTCTTTTACATACATATAAAACATTTGACAATAACTATATTTTATATATTATTTTGGATTTTCTATTATTCTCTTTACTTAATTGTCAAAGAATTTTCATTTCGTATAACAATATTCGTTATTAAAAAAATTACAATTAACCACTATGTGATTTTATACGTCACTCTATTTTACATTATTCGATAATAAGAGAGTTTTATTATAAATGAAAAAATAATGAATATAAATAATTATAATTATATTCGCTGTCTATGAAGACTTCGCTCTTGAATTTTTAAATTAGTATATACTAATTAATATACTAATTAGTATATACTAATATTCGAATATTACTTCTATATACTAACAAAATAACAAAATAATTGTTCAAATATAATAATAATCTGATATTTCTTATTAATGAGATAGGGCTATTTTAGTTATCACGTTGTAGAAAGTTCGGAAGAATATAGATCTTTTTCCTCAACACTCAAAAGGTTTTCCAATACCTTCTGTCCAAATTAACATTCGGTATCATGTTCTCCAACTTAATTAAAAACGCCATAGCCTCATCTGGTCCCTTTTTCTGCATAATCTCTCTGGTAATTCCACTCCAATCTATCAGCATGTCGTATTCGGGTTTCTTCAAAGGCATCGCGCAAAACAGGCAAGTGCCATTCTCGATCTCGCTCAGACATGTAATCACGCAATTCCATTGTTGCTCATTTAATGCTGGCAGAAGAAACGACAATACAACATTGTCTCTAGTTTGAAGGCACTGTCTCAGCAAATCATCCAGCGCGTTACATCGTTCGATGCGAATGTTCAGATACTCGCGCCACATAAAAGGTACCTTGTCGCAAATATTGTTACACTCTTGTGGCAAATTGTTCGCGTATCTCTTGATCAAGGACTCGCCCACCGCCAAAAATTTGGGCTCTACAGTCTTATCGATCGGGTAGGGATAACCGCAGTTACATCTAGCGTAAGCTGGCGCGTTAATCTCGATAAAGGCTCTTGCGAGATGACGCATAACATAATCGTTGTCGATGGAATTTATTAACTGCACGGAAATGTTTTCCAGCAACGTATTATAATAATGCAATTCCGCAGCGCGGGTGACCTCATAAATGAAATTCTGAAGCCCAGACGAGTCTCGATAGGAATCTTTGACAGTTCTCATTCTTTTATCCGTCTCTAAAATAATCTCCTCAAGTTCCTTTTCTGACATGCTAGATTTGATGCTATTTGCCAGATCGTAGACCGACTGTAAGTCGGACTGCACTCTGTGTGTAATGTTTTCTTGCAAGTCTGCTTTCTGATCGTCGTCTTTGATGGCTAATGCTTTGCTATCGTACCTCGAATCAACTCTGTCTTTCGAAGTTATTTCGAAAGTATTTTCTTGTGCGAGATTTTCTTCCCGTTCTTTTCCAGATCCTATTTGTATTTCGGACGAGTCATCGCTGGAGATCTCAGAAGATTGCAACAAGGACATCGTTTCGCAATCGTAAGCCTTTCTATCCGCGAATCTATCGTCTTCAGAATGCACAACTACAATTCCGGAATCCAATTTAGCCGGCTTGTTATTGTCGCTGACTTGCAAAAGCGTTATTAAGGGTCGCAGCAACACCGACACTCTTTCATCCAGCGACAGATTTTCTACCTTAAACAACTCAATGATCTCTTTAGTGCCGATGGCTTTCAATAATTGTGACTTATATACAAAACACGCGTTCAGACACTCTCTATATTGCTCGCTGTAATACAGCCATAGGATCAGGCTATCGAGTGGCGATAATGTCACGCAATGAAATTCGCTATCACAGGTCATCAGGTAGATCCGATCATCCACGATCGCCGTCATGCTGATGTTCGTGTACTCGTTGCTCCACAGCAGCATGCTCGCGCTCGTGGGATCGATAATGTACAGGCCGCTAGTAGTGTAGGAAAATAAATACTTGCGTGCGAGTACGAACAAGTGCGAGAAGTTGACAGACTGCGGCGGCCACTCGCGCTCCGTCTCTTCCCTCTGACTAGATTCTAAGGTACTATCTGACCGAAATATTGCTACCGGAGAAACGGCCAAAGCCTCTTTGAACTGATGCGTCTTCACAACGATCCCGTCGGCCGATACTTCCCATAATCTCGAACCGGGCCGAGCGCAAAAGATCTTCGAATGATTCTCGCCCAAGATGTTGCTATCACTGTCGGAGATCAAATTAAACGCTCCCCGTGTGTTATTGATGTTCCTCTCCTCTTTCTGAGTATTTAAAGTAGTATCCTCGTGCGTATAGAAACACGCACCAAACTCTCCGTTCCGCGGTTTATTGCCTATCTGTTTGTATTGCTCTCGCATCGTATCGCAGACGTAGCAACGTGCTAACGTGGAGACTAGTAACAGAGGCGAGAAAAAATTTAATTGCACAATGCTGGAATCCAGATTCATCAGAATGCAGGCTGGAGTTTGAAATATTCCATTGACCTAATCACATAAAAAAAAGAAAATTACATATTATATATATACAAATTCTATTGCATTATGAATATATTTATTATATATCATTTTGGTCTATTGCATTAAATATTATGATTTATGAAAATAATGATATAATTTATGAAAATATTAATTTTGTTGTCGATTGCACGTTATAAATTTCACTTACTGTGAATATGGACAGTACCATGACGGAAACTCTGCCTATCGCATCTCCTACGTATATCTCGGTACTGCTATTATTCCAGCAGATACAAGTGACTTGTTCATACATGTGTTCCATGGATACCGACATCAATTGCGGAGTGGATTTCAGTGAGACTAGACAAACGGTACCGCGAGTCGTTGCTAAGGCTACAGTCTTCTCATCAGGTGATATCGCCACACGCGAGACCACACCCTCCTTGCAGAAAAAAAAGAGTAATGTTAACAAATAAATCATGTATATGATTTACAAGCAGTATATATACATCCGTAATTATATTATTATTTAGTAATAATTATTCAATCAAGATTATATTCCTAATTATACTGAGAAAAATAACATCTTTGTATTTAATATAGTTATAAATGAATTGTCATTTACCGATAAGGGTATTATTTGAAGAAATGAACATGGCTCTCTGGAGAACAAGTAAATGCTGCCGCTGGTTGAGCCCAATATAATATAGCTTGCTGAAGCGTTGAAACATGTGTACTGCAATTATAAAAATACAATAGCATTATACAACCAATGAAGAATTTGGAAGAGAAAAATTTTTGATGAGAGAATCTTTCGAAATGTATTTTAAGAGAACATCTCTGCTGCGACAGACGAAAGTTATGCAATAATGCTATAAATAAACAAATATAATAACTTATATAGATACAAGACAATGTATCATAAGATATAAATGATAATATGATTTATTTTTCTAATTACAAACACACATGGAAGAATTTTGAAATATTGAAATTGAAAACGTATCATTAGGATTATTTATTATTATTTTCTAGAAGTGAGTGGCTCGAAGTAAGCCGCGTGACATTTTTGACAGATTTGACAGGTGTATTGTGTACGCCCACTCGCGTATTTCGTCAGGTTAACCTCGTCGCTTTGCCTAAGCGTGTTAGAAAAATGCGCATACTTTGCCACACGAAGCTCAGCCAAGCCGTACCTTTATTCGCTGCGTCGAATTGATCGGTTTATACAAGATCGAGTTGATTTCCTCACGTTCCGATAGGACATAAGGAAGATCCGATGCAGCGGGATACATCGTCCAGCATTTTCTGTTGCTCCGAGTGACTGACGCGCACACGCGCAACCAGCACGCAGCTGAGCGATTGGACAGGATTGTATCAAGTCGGATCGTTGCCCCAGATCCGATATTCTTATAATAATAATAATAAATCTAATAATAATAATGTTATCGAAACAATAACATATAGTAATAAAATATATAAAATATATTCATATGGAAAAATGTGTTGTTGTGCAGCTTCTTAAAGAGTATGTGTGACACTTTACTCATGTTTATCGACATTCCTATTTATATTTGCTTTTATGTAGACGAAGTTTTCTCTAACTTAAACATCTAATGTGACTAGAGGATTACAAAGTTTTATATAATGTATTATATTTAATGTTAGTTTAGCAAATTCTTAATTTGTATAAAAGAATAATTGTATAAAAGAATAATGAGAATATATAAATATAATGCGAATTTATTTATAATAAAAAAATTAATTAGTTAATTAAATTCTATAGAACGTTTTATAAACATCAAAAATCGAACTTTATTAACAAAAATCATCATGTTAACTTTTTCTGCCATGATGTAGCTATGACAAAATGATATCATTTTAACTCGATGTGTTATTTGGGTATATAAATAATATATTTTACTTATTCGCATAAATTGAATGAATGATTGTATTAAATATAAAAAAATATTGTTTTATAATGTAAAATATTGTTTTATAATGTATTAATATTAATTAATTATAAATTATTGATAGAATTTATTTTATATGAATTTTATTTATGTTATATGAAAGAAAAAGTATTGGATCACATTGAAATATTACTCAAGAGAATTTTTACATATTTAAATATTTAAAAAACTAGCACTTACATATGCAAATTAAAAAAGAAATTTATCAAAGCGTAAATAAATTATACAATTATAAATTTTATGCAATTTTAATAGCTATAAAATTAGAATTAAATTTAACTCAGAAAGAAGTAATTTAATTTACCTAGATCATATAGAAACAGAATTCATTCACTAAGAAACACTAAATAGAAAATCAAACATAGGATAGAAGCTATATATTCACTTCAATACAGAAAACAGTCTAAGATGTTCTTTTAGTTGAAAAATTTTAAAATTTGGCTTGACGAAATAGATATAAAGCAAATTAATTTCCATGAATTTGCATAAATTTTACGAACTATTAGCATGACTTTTATACATTGTTAGTTTTTGTAACTTTAAGTCTGCGATAATTTATGAAATTAATCTATTATTAATCTATTATTAAGAATATTAAAATTATATTAAAATAATATTAAACGTAATTAATTGACGAAAAACAACGAAGCGTTATTAATTTTATCGGTATATAGAAATGATTGTTAGAAAACTTGACTAATTTTATCAAAATTAAATTATATTTATTTTTTAATATCTAATTTATTCTCAACTAATTCTATCAAAATGTCTATATTATTGTAAGAAATTATATATACTTTTTTGTTTTCTAACTCACATAATTTACATAATAAGCCATCACCATCATATGCTCGCAATGATAGTGTTTAATTTAAGCTTTAGCTGTTTAATTTAATACATATTTATTATCAGCCATTTTTTAGTCTAGAAAATAAAAAAAAGAGGATAACTTTATCGTGGAATATCCTCTATCAATATTATTCTTAGCGATACGAATCTTTTTTATTTGGTCATGCTAAAATATCATGTGGAGAACGAGATGGAAAGCAATAGAGCATCGCTAATTGAAAGAAACATAGCGATTGTCGAGTGAAAAATGTTTAAATTAATATATCATGAAACATTGATATTAATTCGTAGAAAGTAGTTGTCTCATCGGAAGATTAAATGTCGAATCGATGAATCTAATCGATGAATGTAGTAGAAGAGTTACGCACCTGTCGCACGTGGCCGGCTTAGAAATCCCATAACGAAATATCGACATTTTATTTCGAAATGATGTATATCGTCAAAGAAGATATTGCATAAATATTTGTCATGCTAAATTGCTTAATCATTAATTAAGATGCCGTTCAATATGTCGTTTATCATTATTATATTAAAATGTACCGCCGCGTCGTGTGATAACATACAAATACAAAATTGATTCAATTTTAAAATTTTTATAAAAGTGATTAGTACTCAAAACAAAAGAAAGAAAATAAAAATTTCTGTAATATATGTTATGTTAAGAAAAATACAAGTACGTAAAAAATATATTTCTAAATAATGAATCTTTAGATAATTGCATTTTTTTAAGTACTTAATTGATTTCTTCAATTACTGTGTAATTATCTTAAAGAACTCTTTTTCAAAGTTGATTGCAGTTCAAAATAGCAAAAATGCAAATTAAAATGTTATTAAATGCAATTTAATTTTTATTAATAATATAATTGCGCGTCATTGAAATTATTTAAACAAAAGTTACACAATACTAAAATATTTTTGAAATGATTTCTCTTTTGATGAACTTTATTTTTTTATTTGCACTTTATTTTTTTACGATTGTTGTCGTCTTGTGAAATTACGCAAATGTTTGCCAAATCAAATAGTTATACTTCTCCAATTATTATAAGGATGTATTTCCTGTTCTCATGTTGTTTTAGATAAGTGCTTAATCAGATAACCGAAAGTAAGTGTATGCGTGTACATTGTAATTAACGATCTTACCCCATTTGAATCTTAAGCGAGATTTAATCAAAACAGGTTTCGCGATAGATATTTTACATGTTTATCGAAGGAAAAAAGACTCATCCTTGAAAATCAATGTTATTCATTGATAAATGTCTAATAAATGATGAATAAAAAGTTAATAACTTTTGAACCAATTAATTATATATAATTTAGATGCATAAGAAAAATAGGCGTAGTTAATAACGTAAAATATATCTAATAAACAAATGAAATGTTTATTGTTAATTTTTTATTTTAATAGATCTGACCGAACAATGCCATATTGCGAAATGCTGTTAGTATGCATGTAGAAAGAACGATAGAGTGAATTCTGTTGTCTGAATTTATGTTTGTTCAATTGTCTTATATAATAATTTGTCGAAACTTTACAAGGTACGATCTTTATAAAAAGTTTGAAAAATCTATATCTGATTGTGAGTTTTATTTTGCATTCGTCATTCGATCATTTCTTAGCGTTACTTAATTTTGTCAGCTTTATCTTACATTTTGTTTGCACTGTATTTTTAAAGCTTTTAAAATTTTTTAGAACTTAAAAAATCTTACATATTCACAAATTTTATTATTTTATTATTTTTTATTGTAACTTGTAGTCAGGATCACAATCGTGGCGCACATAGCTATTGTTTTTTATTAAATATACAGCGAGCAAATCGATAAAAATAATATATTTTAAACAGTAGAGGTACACAGGATAAGATTTTTTTAATCCTTTTATTACAATTTTTCTGTTGGTTTCAGAAGAAGATATTGAAAAGATGTTACGACGCAACTTAAAATGCCTCAATCACGATCGCTAGAATATCGCTAGGACAGATCGTGACTTAAGCCAAATTCATTTAAGATTCGGGTCATTTTATGCTGGAGGGAGAATTCTTCAGTGGGGGATACTCACACCATAGATCGCACGACCTTCTTCTTCGCTCGCGGTACACATCGTTTTCAGTAACGGTGCATCTATGAGATATAACGTTAGTTGCATCCTTTGTTCTCACTACGACAGTTTTTACTGTGTGTATGAGTGCGAATCGCCGTCAACCAACGAAAATACCAAAACCGTGAGAAACAAATTCAGACGATGTTATCCTTCAGCTTAATGAGGTATACATATAAAAAAATTTGCAAACATAGAAATTAATTAGAATTAATTAAGTATGGAATTAATTAAATATCACGCTAATTAAATTTTAATTTTAAACTTCAAAATTTGCTTAACTAAAAGAAGTTTAAGACGACAATTTCTTCTTCGGACAAAGAGATCTCAATGCGCGAGAGAAAATGTTTCTCGTTCGCGAAAGAGTTCGAACTTTCCATCAATTTTCTTAAACTAATTATCTATTATTACCTCTCAAAATATTTCATGGGGCTTGATTCGAAATATAATTGTTAAATAATCCTAATTATTATAAAATGATAAAAATGAATATGGTTGTTCTGAATAGTAAAGAAAAATCTTTGTAATGAATTGTTCAATTGAATTCAGTTTTTTCTGGATATATGATACTTTTAATCTATAGTTGTTTAAAAATCTTTGAAAAAAGTATTTTCAAATTTTCCGATTTATTTATTAGCTAAATGCTCGAGATAAATTATGCCCGAATTTTTACGCTTTCTCGTTACATTTTATTGGGTCACGCACATATTTTCATATAATTACATTCATCTTTTTCGACATTGTCTTCCAACAGACTTGTACTCATCAATATTTTATTCCAAATATGCATAAGATAATTACACGATATTATAAAACAAATTTCTTCTCGTTTTCTTTTTCTCTCTCTCGTGTAGCAAAACTTATTCCTTTTTCACTTAAAAGAAGGAGAGACGCGTTTGAATTTCCATGTTACAATCTAGTCAGTGAAAGTAAGTTTTCGTGGCTCAAGTCTGGGCGATCAAAGCGGAATTCGAGAAGAATTAGAATCTTACAAAGTACAATGGTGAACAACAGTATCTATATGCAAAAGCACAAATACAAAGTAAAGCACAGATAATTAATGAGAGAAGCAATAAAAATTAAATGTCTTCTTTCGCGTCGTCATATCGTTATGATCTTCTTTAATTTCTATTTCTTCTATTGTGTTTCGTTAATTTAAGTTTCGCTGTGTGATATTATCTCGATGAAGAAATATTGTGAAATTAAAGGGAGAATCGGTTGTAGAATGAAATCGCCGTTACGAATCTGCGAGATGCGACGCCATCCGTTGCAACTCTACGAGTCGTTCCTTCAAAGGGTTGTTCTCCGGGCTTTCTGCAGCGAGACAATCACATCCGAATGCCCTCATGTATCTTCGTCTCCGAGAGTCGCATCTTCGTTTGTTAAACCATACGACGAGGTGCCGGGACCGCGGCCGATACCGATTTTGGGCAACGCCTGGCGCCTGTTGCCGTTGATCGGCCAATATCAGATTTCCGATGTCGGGAAGATTTCGCAAATGTTTTACGACGAGTATGGGAAAATCGTGAGGCTGGGCGGTCTGATGGGTCGACCCGATTTGCTCTTCGTCTACGACGCTGACGAGATCGAAAAGGTGTACCGCCAAGAGGGTCCTACGCCCTTCAGACCTGCCATGCCGTGTTTGGTGCACTACAAGAGTGTCGTACGCAAGGATTTCTTCGGCGATTTGCCCGGCGTCGTTGGCGTGTAGGTGAACCATAATTATTGGCAATCAATTTTGCCTTAATTAATATTTATGAAAAATAAATGATTTTGAGTATCTTAAAAAATTTAAGGCCAGATCTAAAAATAATTTTGCTTGATCATCAAGATAATTATGTAACACGCTTGAACATGATGACATAATGTTATAAAATTTTTTCATACTTCAGCAACTAATTTGAAAGTCAAATAATTGTTTTGACAGCAAACTTAATTTTAGATCCAAATTTTTAGATTTTTAGCAAAATTATTCTTACTACGTTAAAATAGAGATTATATATAAAAAAATACTAAAAATTCTTGTTGATCTAATATTCTTAGTTAAATCACAGTAAAATATCTTAAAAGTATTTTACTTTAATTTTCTTTTAAAATATTTCAAAATTATCAAATTAAATATTTATTTTTAAATAAATTTAAAATATTTATGTAAAAGTGAATTTATATAGAATTAAAAACGAACGATAAATTCGGTGGGGCGAAAAGGAGATTGAGAAAACAAGAAACTTGATACGACTTTCAGTTTTCGTGACCTTGTCCTCGACTTTGTATTATGCCCATTACATCTCAATGAAGAAAAAAACATGGACGAAAGAAACAGGCTTTTATTTGCTTTATTCGTTTATTCTCTACTCATCGCACACTAATTTCTTTCATTAGACATGGCGAGGCATGGAAAGATTTTCGTACACGTGTTCAAAAACCTGTTCTCCAACCGAAAACTGTGCGAAAATACATAACACCGATCGAGGTGGTTACGGAGGATTTCATAAGAAGGTAAAAGAGAATGGGAAATAAATCTAACATGTACATATTACTGATTATTGCGATATCTCTGATGGGTTGTAGAATCGAGAAGATTACAAACGACGACGGCGAACTGCCCGGCGATTTCGATAACGAGATACATAAATGGGCATTGGAATGTTAGTTTCTATCTTATCTAAAGTATTATCTGCTTATTTTATGTAAAATATCAATAACAAGATTGCACACGCAAAACGTTTTCTCCATACTAATGGATGGATATTTTAAATTTGAAGGCATTCTGCTTTCTGAAGGCTAACTTGTCTCCAGTATCGAATGTTATTTTAAATTATTAAGTCGAGCGAAATATGAGTTTAAAAAACATTAATTTACTTTACTTTTCCTTTCATCTTCATTATCCTTTTATTAACATAATTGTGTTACTACAAAGACACTTGTTAGATTAAAGCTTTATAATCTAAAGTAATATCAATGAGGTCTCCAATAAATTTTAAATTATTAAGAATTCTATATTAATTAAATGTTAACAAAAAGCAATTGCCGACAAATATTAAAGTAGATGATTTAGAAAGCAAGCTTTGTATACCTAACCATTTCTATACCTAAGCAAAGTCATCACAAAATTAAACTTCAAATATATGTTTTAGAAACCAAAATTAGAAAAGGAAAACTATTTGAAATTAATACATAAATGAGAATAAAATTGAAATTGCTTTTTTTCTTCTACATCATTTATCTATCATGGAATCTTTTATATGCATGAAGCATAATTGATGAGTTGTGATCACTTTCTATCTGTTTATATATAATAAAATTGAAATTGCTTTTTTTCTTCTACATCATTTGTCTATCATGGAACCTTTTATATATGCATGAAGTATATAATTGATGAGTTGTGATTATTTTCTATCTGTTTTTTACATCAATATACGGTGTTTAGCTTCTAACATTTAACAAGATTCTTGCGTATAAGAGCACGATTTATTTCATAGAGAATGGGAGAGGCAAATGATTTGTATCTATTAGAATTCTTGCCGAGAAGAGAATCCATTCCGACTTTCGCATTCCCACTATTAGGACGCACAATGACGTTCGCGATAGCATTTACTACGTGCGATGAATTATACATTTGTCGATCGAACAGGTATCGGTCGTGTCGCACTCGATGTTAGACTCGGATGCTTAGGCGAAACATTGTCATCGGATTCTGAACCGCAAAAAATCATCGACGCCGCCAAGTTCGCCCTGAGAAATGTCGCTTCACTGGAACTTAAAGCCCCATACTGGAGATACATCCCGACACCTCTCTGGAGCCGTTACGTACGCAATATGAATTATTTTATTGAGTAAGTTTTTAGAAAGGATAAGTAAACTAAACTCTGTTAAAAAAAGAGAGGAAGAATAATAAGAAAAAAATTGTTAAAAACTCGCATCAGATAACATAAGATAAGATAACAAGATAAGATAACAATTTTTAATTTTTAAAACAGAGGACTATATAGTTTAATCAGAGCTTTTTATATGAAAGGCTGTTTAATCGGGGCCCCAGTGCAAGGAGAGTTGCAGCTCCTCTATACAGCCCTGAGTTTGATAGTTGTTTGACCTTTTTTCTTTTTTATCTTCAACTATTGTAATTTTCTCCTGCTTCCGGGATTGGAAATAAATGATCGAGAAAATGAAAAAATAATTCTTTATTTACATATAATTTTAATCTTTAATATTACTAATCTAATGGCTTGACGTTCTTTCTCTCTTGTCCAATCGTTGAAATTTCTACAAAGCGAAATCGAAGAAGAAAAAACTGGGAAATAAATGAATTCCTTATTTGAGATCTAGAAAAGCGTAAGCGATTTCTTTTCTGCTCTTTTCGATATTTTATTAGATCACTTAACGTAGATTACGTTTGGAAATAGAAAGTTGTTACGGAAAATCACGGAACGGAAAAAGATTCATTTTAGAGCCATTAGCTAATTTCGTAATACCTAATTAAAAGCTCAGTGTTACAAAAACTTTTTTCCATCTTAATTTAATTCACAGCTACTTTCATATTTTCAACAACTCATTCTCGAAACTCAACATATGATTGATGAGTGTGTAACAATATTTTATCTTAGGATATGCATGAAGTACATTGACGCTGCGATTGTCAGGCTTAAGAATAAAAAAGCTGTGGATGAAAGCGACTTGTCGCTGGTAGAACGAATTTTGGCCAAAGAAACAGATCCTAAAATAGCTTACATTTTTGCTCTCGATCTGATATTGGTCGGCATTGACACGGCAAGTCTCACAATATTGTAATTTATTATTTAAAAAAATTATATTATAAATAATACTTTTTAAAATTAATTGTTAATTTAACTTAGTCTTAACGCAATTTTTAATTAATAGTAAATTAATCATATAATTTTTAATGTAAGTGATTTGATTTTACAGGCCATTAACTTTAACTTAATTTAGTTAAAAAGAAAGATTTGATTTATCTAACCTTGGCATTTAAACAAAGTATGTTACATATGTGTGACATATATTCCAGATATCAATGGCAGTATGTTCAATATTATATCAATTAGCAACTAGACCGGAAGAGCAGGAGAAGATATATCAAGAATTGCTGCAGATACTGCCAGATCCATCCATTTCTCTCACAACGAGCCATTTAGATCAAGCGGTCTATATGAAAGCCTTTATTCGGGAAGTGTTTAGGTAATACTACGATATAAATATCGTAAAACAATCATTTCCGAAACAGTTAACTTTTACATGTATCGATAACAGTTCGATCTTATTATCTTATTATTATCTCTCTCGTTATCTTTATTAAGTAAAAAAACCCCATGTTTGTTGTTTCAGAGTGTACTCTACCGTTATCGGAAACGGTAGAACATTGCAGAATGACACTGTCATTTGCGGTTACAAAATTCCAAAAGGAGTATGTAGCATATCTTATTTATACTTATCTTTACCGCTTATTCGTTTCTATAAAAATTATTTTATTTGTTTGACATTCGATTTTTTGCAACTAAGAATTGTCTGAGATGTTTCTTTTAACATAATTGCCCTTGCACACTTTATGAATAAAATTTTGTGATTTATATACAATTTCATTTTTAATAAAATTACATTCTTAATATTATAAATTATTTTTGTTAATAGCAAATGTTTATATATATATATATATATTAGAAATAATTAATCTAACTAAAATTAATATGATTCTAGGTTCAAGTCGTCTTTCCAACGCTTGTCACTGGTAATATGGAAGAATATATTACGGACGCAAAAACGTTCAAACCTGCGAGATGGCTCAAAGATTTTGATAACGAGAAGTTGCATCCATTTGCATCACTACCATACGGTTATGGAGCACGAATGTGCTTGGGTAGACGATTTGCAGATCTCGAGATGCAAGTGCTCCTCGCGAAGGTGCAGTATTTTACATATTTTTTTTTAATGTAAACAACATGACGAAAATAATATTATAGAATCTTATTTAATAGAAAACATTTAATATTTTAAAATTCTTAAATACTTTTATTTCTTTATTTTTTATTTATCAATGTAGTTTTATTCTTAAATCTAATTGTCATAACGATTTATTTTCAATTATTTTCAGCTTTTGAGATCGTACAAATTGGAATATCATCATGAGCCGCTGAAATACAAAGTTACATTCATGTACGCGCCCGATGGAGAACTCAAATTTAAAGTAATAAAAAGATAGCATTCTGCAAGTCATATAATATAATGGTAAAATAATTTTAAATCAGCTAAGATAAAGAAAGTATCTCTAAGTTTAAATATTAATACTGATAAAAAATTATATTTGCTACATCATAATTTATAATTTTATATTTTATGGAAAATATAATTCTATTTTATAGATATAAATCTGTTTCATGTATAAAAATATTTATAAATGCGATTAATATACAATATGTATAATGTAATTATTTAATTGTGTATAAAGTGTATTTTAGACAAATATCGATAAATTATGCAACATTACATCATTACATCATATACATATAAAAAGTAAGCTTAGACATAATACAAATAATACAAATAATTTCGATTACGTTCTATACTACACTCTTTTCTGAAAAAGTAGAAGCACTAATTATTATCTCTCGATAAATCTCAGCTTCAATGGTCCTTTCGGTGTATACATTGGATTAATGTAATACTCCAATTTTTCATGGTGATATTCTATTTTATAAAACTGAAGAATCTGAAACATAAAGAGAAGGTTTTTAAAATAGGCTTATATTATTAGTTGAATTTAATTGCAAATTTTGTTACATTCACTCTCTCTTATTATTTGCGTCTTAACAATCAAACGTGCAAAATTGTAAAATTTTACATTAGCCTGGAATATAAAATTTTCTTAAGACCATAAATTTATTGTTCAAATTCTTGGAATAACGAGGTCAAAATCTTTAAAAAGATGAAATTAGCAAGAAATGTTTTTCAATCAAGGTGGAGAAAGTTCTCCAATGCGATACGAGAATAATAAAACGACAAAATAACGTTTTGTTACCATCAATAACTACGAGAATAATCGTAGGAAAATTATCGTAACAAGTACATTGCAAAATTGCAGCTACAAAACGCGTCGCGTATGTTTATTTCTATGACAACAAGATGTAATCGCAGAATTGCGTTTTACCACAAATAGCTCTTTGTATTTACGACATACCGAAAGCGTAACGTAATTATTTTTGCTATAGCATGTCACATAATAAAAGTAAAGAAAATATAATAATTAAAGAAATAGTTATGTTAAATAAAATGTAAATCATGTGAATTGTACAAGTCCGATTTTAAGTTTATCATAGAAAAAATTACTCGTTAAAATTGAATGTTATGTCATAGAATACTTTACATTTTTGGCAGATCCGAGACTCGGCGAAAATGAGTCGGTGATCTAAATTGGCAAAAGCGAAATGTACCGCGAGACTTGTTTGTCTAAACCGTAGACTTAACGTATCTGTGACAATTGAAGGTTGCCTCTCACCTTGCTAATGACGATAATCATCTCGAGCTCGGCAAATCGTCGTCCCAGACACATTCGCCTGCCGTAACCGAAAGGAAGCGAAGCGAATGCGTGACGGACTCCGTCTTCATGCAACCATCGTTCCGGAAGGAATTCGTGACTTTGTGGAAAATATTTTTCCAGGTTGCTAATTACGTAGTGTTGAAATATCACTTGCACCTGAAAATAATTAATATTTTTCATTACGCTATATTTTTTTATTACCTGTGCATCCCTATAAACTGTACTTAGTATTAAAAAAAATTATTTTAAATGATTTTAATTATATATAAGTAATAATTAATTGCCATTGATACATTAACATATTGTTTTAATAACTGATACATTGAAATTTGTAAAAAAATTTTTTCTTACTCCTTTTGGTATGCGGTAACCGCCGATTACAGTATCCGAAGACATGCATCGCCCATTGCCTAAGACAACTGGATACATTCTAATTAAAACAACGGAAACAATTTATAAAATAATAAGTTATAAAATACAGCGATAATTATTATCGCGAGAATATGAATTATTTATAAATAGCAATTTGTTGCAAAACAATAGATTCGAGTATGTATGTGTTAATCTTCTCAATCTCTTGAGAATCGAACCTTAGAGTTTCTTTAATACACGCCCTCAAATACTTTAAATTGTCGATGTTTGTCGCCTCGAGAGGCGCGTCTCTTTGTGGAAGTATATTGCAGATTTCATCATATGCCAAAGCCTGTTTCTCCGGATGTAGCGCCAGCTGATAAAGCACCGAGGCTACTGAAGTTGACGTCTGCAAATAATTCGAATTCTACAACACTGTGCGAATCATTTAAGAGGGAAAATATTTACCGTGTCAACGCCAACCAAAAACAAATCTAAAGCGAGGATGGAGGCTACTTTTGCATCGTCCTCACGAGCTAGAACCCTCTCCAACAGAGATAATTCTTTTTTCGAGGTCACATTGTTCTTAGCTCTTAACAAAGCGGCGGTGGTATATTTTGATATAGTACTAAAATATATCAATATAAATCAAAATGTACTAAAATATATCAAAGTGCCATATATGCATGTGTCTATATATTAAATAGTTATATTAATATATACTAAATTATTATTTCTAATTATATTAATATAAATATTAACATGACTAAATGCATACAAAACATTTAAAAACATTTATAATTATAATATAATTATAATATAATATAATATAATATAATATAATAATTACGTTAGCAAGCACTAATTTACGTATTGTAAATTTTAAAGAGCTAAAGAAAAGAAATCAAGAATATTTTTCAATATATGTAAAATGCAGAATAATAAATTTATCTTCTTTAATAATAAATTGAGCTTTTACCTCACAATGATATCCAAAGAATTTACGTATTGCTTCCACCTGGGTGTGTTAAAGAGTTTCCAAAAAGGCATCTTCAGTTCGAGTACAGGTACATTTTTAAAAAACGTGATCAATGCGTTTATGAGCTTTTGCGTTTCGGCGTCCGCATCGTCGTCCAAGCAACCTAAACGCACGTCTAACGCAACTCGTGCAATAGCTGTCGATAGCAATAAATTATTATTAATTAGATACATTTCTTTACATTCATGCATTCGTACATCTGAAAATCTCTACAAGCTTACTTTTATTAAATATATAAAAATTATCAGTTCTTCCAAGAATTTTGAGAAGACTTTTTATTTAAAAAATGCGAAAAAGTACATTTGTATATTAATCTTTTTTTAGCTTATAATTTTGATTTACAAATCTCTTTTATTATAATTCGATGATTTTATTCTCTCGAAACTTTCTCAATGTTTTTCTCAAAGAGAAACTTTTCCTGCCGTATCAATTTCGAGGAGAACTTGATATTTTTATAGAAGCCAACTTTGCTTATTTTTTTCATCGCTTTTTACTTACATTCTAAAGACCATTTGTGCATTTCATTGAGAAAGTCGTCGGGTACCTCGAGTTTTTGATCCCGTATCTTTGCTATCCTACAAAACAATGAGAAGATAAATTGCTTTGTGGTGACGCGAAGTTAAGTGGGCGGGCAAATCGGCGAAAGTTAGGCGAGGAAACTCGAAAAAGGTCAAGTGTTATTTGTCTAATACTAAGACGTCAGCACTAAAGATAATAAAATCGAGGCGAACCTGCGAAGGAATGCCATGCTGGCTTCTTCGATCGCGCTGATATACATTCGCGCGATTCGCGGCTGCAGCATCACCTGCTGCACTTTACTTCGGAAATTGTACCAACTCTCACCGTGGCTGAAACGTAAAGAGAAAAGAGGAATGAAGCTATAATAAAGACTACTGTCATCTGCCAAATGGAATTCGACATTTCATCCTGGGAGCGTTAAAATGATGAATATTAGAAACTTAACAACACTTGCAAAATAAAAGTGTTAGACAAATAAATAAAACGTCTCAGCTTTTAATTCTTCTTTTCTTTTTTTTAAAGTAAAAAATTAATATTTTACAAACATTTTTAAATGTCACATACAAATAAAAAACAAGAAATAATATAAAGGATAATAGGTTTCTGAATAATAATTAATCTTACTCGCTCGTTTTTTGGAAGAATATATAATATCTTGAATAAAAACTAAAAATATTATTTTACGTTATATACTTGGAAAATATATTTATTTAATTATTTTCTGAAATATTTTAATCTTTCTTTTAATATTATAAGAGAAGAAAAAATTTAAATTTTGTAAATTTAAAATGATATATGGCTTACACGGCGATAACACCGGGGTTATCCTTAAAAAAATCCTTTCGCAGTACATGCTTGTAATAATCAAGCGATGGCATAGAGGGTCGATGAGGCATCTTTTCTTCTCGCCGGAAAATCCGTTCGATTTCATTTGCATCGTATACAAATACCATGTCAGGTCTGCCTAAAAGACCTTCTATCTTTACAATGTTACCATATTGAGCATGCAGTCGTTTTGATATTTTGTCTATTGCCTGTATCTCAAAGTTTCCTGAAAATGATTTTTAATTATATTAAAAATTTTTAATTGTAATAATACAAATTTTTATAAAAAAATTTCGATTGTAAAATATATATGTACATCTTTTAATGTTTGATGAATATACTACTTATTTACTTTAAATTCTAAATGAAAAACGTTTACCAATCAAATATTTATTTTGCAAAGTCAATAACATTTACGGCGCAATCCATTAACTACCAGTTTTGTTAAAGTTATGTAAATAGATCGATATTTACAGAATTTAAAGCAATTACGGATTTACTGGTTTTAAAAAAAATCAAGATAATTAAATATATAACTTGAGAAAATGACTTTATTCCTGTTTGTTGAATAACTCATTTCTAAAAAGAGGGAAAGTCTGAAGAAATAATGTTAAAAAAATGTATATATATATATATATATATATATTATTATATGTAGCATTCTTTTTCGGTAAAGTTATGTTAAAAATTAAAAGTTAAAGTTAACATATTTTAGAAAATATCTAGTTGAAGATAAAAATTAATTTACTTAAAATTGAAATTTATTTAAAACTAAATTAAAAGTTATTAATTTCCTAATCATATTATTTAGTCTGTAGCTAATTAATCCAACCTTGATAACATGTGACTTGCCGATTCTTTTTTTCATCGTTTTTTTTCCTTTGAGTATAAGGCAAATGGAAACCACTGCATTATACTTCTTAAATAGACAAATATGACGAGAATTAAATTAAGAGAGTTGAACCATGCAATGAATTACGTAAACAGAAAAATATGTTTTTGAAAAATATATTATTGAGAAATTCGATTATTGACTGCAAGCGATAACAGATCATATGCACACGATAACGAACGTGCTAATATCTTTTCTCTTTTTCGCCCCCTCTTCCTTTTATTAGTAGATTCTTTTCAAAATTATATTATACATATTTTAGGACAAATATTGACGCTTTCACTTTTTATCTTTACTATTTATTTCTTTCTTGAAACTTTAAGTAATTCAATTTCCGTAGAAAATCACAAACGGAAATCGCAACAATAATTGTCAACGAAAGAATTTACGATGTTTGCGAAAAATGTATGGCACCTATGTAAGGTAGAAATCGCCAGGTGTTGCCCAACAGAGGTATTGGCTTAGGTCCAGGAATTTTCGAATATGGACGATATCGCAATAAATTCCGTTCCTCAATATCCATGGTTAGCGTGTCTAATGCTCTATCGCTCTTTGTATCGATTCTGACGAATCGACGCAACAGTTCCCTCGCATGTTGCCTCAACGTGGTCATTTGTGGCCTGCGCAATAGAAATACTTGTAAAATAGCTACTTTTATCTAGGATAATAATATAAATATAATTCATCGCATGATAATAATATAATATAATTCATCGCATGATATCGCATGGAATCGTAATTATCATATCACAAACATTATTGTCGAGAAAGTCAGTTCCAGTTTTAGCATAAAGTTCGGAAAAAATGTTTAAAAAATAAATTAGAGAATTAGAGATAGATGTCGGAGAAGGAAGAAATTAATTTTCTTCTGCTATAATAAAATTAACATTTATTTATTTTTATAACATGCATAAATTGTATGAATTCTTCTATCTATCGTTATTATCCTTTCGAAAATATTACAGACATTCTTAGGAAGAATATTTTTTTATATTTCATTTGTATTTTTTATTTTCACATTTTGTTTATTTTATTGTAACTTATACAGAAATAATTATGTGCAATATAGATTTTATTCGAGAAAAAGGCAGTTGCATTGATTTAAAATTATTCGTTGCAACAATCACTTGAATGAAAATTAAAAAAATTTGCAAGCAAATTTTGCACCGACAAATGACTTTACATGTGAGTAATACATGATATAAGAGTGAAATGCGATGCAATAATCTTTACGCGGAAATATGTCTTCGTTATTATTGGATGTATCTAAGCGTAAAGTATTAATTTCAAGCACTTTCGCATAGGCGGATAATAATTGAATCGAGTCTAGGCCACAACTCAAGCAGACTTGTATTTCAAGTTTCTGACTTCATTGCATAAATATTTCTTATATTATTTTTAAAGTTGCATACATTAACAAATCTCTCTATTCCGCATATATTGATTTTAACGTTTCCTAAGTAAGCTAAGCGAACATTTTTATATCCATAGTTGTATCGATAATGATACAAGATTATTAATGGAATTCTTATATCATTTTTCATTCTAAAGTAGTGATATTTTTAATTAGGCTCAAAAATATTTTAAATATATAATTTATGTAAAAAGATACACAGATTATGAAAAGATACACAGATGAATGAAATTTATATTAAAAACAATGCTATGTTAGTTATTATATAGTTATATATAGTAATAATAATTAACACATATTTGTTAATAAAAGTTGGAAAAATTAGTTCGTATTTACAATTCAATGTAAGTAAAAGATGAGATCAGAAATGAATAAAAAAGAACTGAAAAATACGAAAAATATGAGTAACATTTGTTTCAAGAGAAATTGCGAAATTGGTAAATCATTAACTGTGAAATTCGCAATTTGTACTTACAATGCATTCGCTGATGACCATAGATTGTCAACTTTCCCAAAGTCGCAATTGCAATTTGGGCGGTCAACCAACCGGTTTTAACGGACCAGTTAATAATGAAAGTCACGAAAACATATTCGCGGTGTTTCATCGAAACATATTGAGAATAATAGATACATTTTAATTGCATGCTCTAGATATAATTCTTGTTTCAGAAAAAAAGTTTTACTATTTCAAGAGAGAAATACACAGCATGTGGACAATTGTTTTTGCACACATTGCATATTTTATTATATATACAAATGTTATTAATATTTTTCAATAGAATTGTTAATTTTTTTATACAATATTTATATATTTTATATTATTCCTATAATTATATGTATAATAAAATAAACTGACAAAAAATTGTTTACAAGATATTTTATAAGATATTTTATTTTGATATATCTTTTAATATAAAATACGAAAAAAATATTTATTTCTTAAAATATTTATTTTTAATAGTTTTTTAAATAGTTTTTATGCTCGGAATGTTGAAAAAAATTGACCTACATATAGACAACACAAGGCTAAAATTAGAATGTAGGACGTTTTTAGCAAGTTAACACAAAGTCCAAAATCAGAATGTAGGACGTTTTTATCTTTTCCTGATTTGGGATTTTATTTGAAAACGTAAAAAGGCATAATTTATGTATGGAAATGTATTACTACATGCGATAAACTGTATATTTTTTAAATTTTATATAAAATACTTCATAAATATGCAATGCATGTACATTTGAGTACATATGAGTGATATATTATTATATTTCTTGATAAAAATATAACAATAGAAAACTTTCTTTCAGAATGGAAAATTAATTTTTCTTTTCTTTAAGCAAAGAATGTTTTATTAAATAATATAATGTGTTACCAAATTTGAGAATTATACAACAAATTTAAATTTTATAAATAATGCTGATTTAAAGATATAATCATATGCATTCAAACTACAAACGATTATACATTTACAAGTAGTTTAAAATCAATATAAAAGATCTTACCTATCAGAACACGTTGTACACACTAAAAAAACCGCGATCTGACTGATGCTTATGTTGCCTTGCTTCGCGCTAAAACGAATATCGAAAGGTTTGACAGAAAACCGCTCACGAGTGGGAGAGCGAATATAAGAAGGGAAAGTACTTATGGGAACTAACCTTGTATTATAGATACAACATTAAAAAAAAAGAATAAATAATGTTGCGCAACTATTTTATGCCAACAGAATAATTTAACAAAGATCAAGGTTAAAAAGTATCATGTAGATTAACAAAAAATTTTCATTTATTAATTTTTTTATTTTACATATTTTACATATTATAAAGCTAACAATACATGTGCAGAATGGATTATATAAAATAATACTTATATGAAACTATTATATTATATAAAACTCATTTCCTATTTTCTTACTATTAGATTATAAAACTATTTTCCAGGAATCTATTAGAGATAGCGATAAAATTTTTTCTAAATCTTTTAGGATTTATTAGGATTATCTTTAATATATGGATATATGGGATATCGCTACCGGATTTGCCAAAGAAGGGGGGAGGGGTACAAGAAGATTTAATCCTCCATTTTTTAATTGTTTAATATTATATTAATAATATATATTAATAATATTAATTATTTTAATATATTAATATTAAATTTTTCAATTTATAATTTTATTTTTGGGTACATTAATTAATGCTTTACAAAAGCCTATTATAAAATTATATTAAAAATTGTTATAATATTTTATATGATCCATCCTATTATATTTAAAAAATCAATTATTCATGTAAATATTACTGCAATAATAAAAATAATTTTTTTGTTTTGTTTTAGTTTTAATACATTAAGATCCATTTGAGCTTTCATACCATTTCGATTTTTTCAAATCAATTCCTTTCAACTTATTTCTATAATTATTTAGAAGCTTATTAAAGTTTGTATCATCTGCGTCAAATTTCTTCGTTTGTTTCATCTAAAAAAAAAAAAAATTTATAGATTAAAGTAGATTAAAGTATTTATAAATTGTAAAATATATTTTATATAAATTTAAAAAGTTAAAATTATGAGATATGAAATATATGAGAAAGTAATATCATACTGTTTTATTGTCTTGTTTCTTCTTTATTTTTTCTTTTTCCACAATATTTAATTGTTTGGTTGTTTTATTCAATTTCTTTTGTTTCTTTATAGCTCGCATATGCAACTCGGCTTGTGTCTTTAGTTTGAATTTTGATCTTAATTTATCCTGACCTAATTTGCTGGTAATACCGGTATATGGTTTTTCATCTGAATCATTTAATTTTCTGATTTTAACTCGTTTAGCTGAAATTTCTTTCTCGGTGTCCTCATTTTTTCTCTTGTTTTTATTTTCAGAACACAAAGGATTATTCTCACGACTCTTCTGAAGTCTTCTTGCCTTTGCATTTACCATGACACGATTTTCTATCGAAAATCCGATTATAGGCCTCTGTATCAAATTTAGAAAACAATATTTAATTTATTAAAAAGTAAGAATAATTAACAATGATCAAAATATAGATCAAAAAATAGTCTTACTCTATTTTTGGAAAATATATTTGGATTGTTATTCAAACTTCTCAAAGCTCTAAGCGCGTCTTCATGAGTAGTAAATGTAACGAAACCATACTCTTTTGACTTTCCTTTCCCGGTCGCATCAACATTTTTTAAATCACGCATAACTCGCGCCTTAAAGATAATATTATCATTTATAGTTTTAAATGCTATTAAAAACATTTATGTTATAAATAAAATTACCTCTTTAATTATAGCTTTAGGACTACTATGATTTTTAAACAATTGTCTAAGTTTAGTATCATCAAAATTGGGAGGTAAATTGTGGACAACTAGCCGCACTCTTGAGACAAACATATTTAAGTTACGTAACATTTGTGATTTCCATTGCTCTAATTTCAGACGTTTTTCCATATCAGATACTGATACTTCCGCCGCGGCTGGACTTTTGGCCAGCACAACTAGAAATAAACAACACATTAAAATTGTCTTACATAATATGATAATATTTTGTAATTATATTATTACCTCCTTCTTTAATAAGATACAAATTTCTGGAATCTTTAATCTTTTTATCTTTTATATTTTTTTTATCTTCAACTTCTTTTCTGTGTAACGCTTTATGGGCTTCGATTATTTGATCACGTAAACGTAATTCAGTTCCGGCTGACAAACACTTTTCGGCATCCTCAATATGCTACAATAAAATATTTTTCGTATAATTATAACATTAACATACAAAACTATAAAAGAATTTAGAATATATATTTGAAAATTAGATTAGCAATTCTTACTTGAAATTTAACAAACGCAGTGCCTCTAGAATATTCAGTCAAAGGATCGATGCATACAAGAGCATAATAGACGGGTCCAAATTGCTCCATGTATCTTTTAAGTTCATCATTCTTAACAGAAAATGGTACATTCTTTAGAAAAATTGTTTTTCCTTCACTAACATCATTAGATATCCGTTTTGGACGTTCTGCATCAGAATTTTCTTCCTCTTTACTGTTGTTTTCCTCCTTAATAATAGATTTATCTATCTCATCATTAATGTCATCATCATCTTCATGATTATCATCATCAACATTATCGTCATTATTATCATTGTTATCGCTTTCATTTTTATTAGTATCCTCTATTTCATGTATTTCTATTTCCTCTTCATCAAATTCGTTTTCCTCTTTTATACTTCCATCAACTTTTCTAAAATTAAATTATTGAAAAATATTAAAAGATATTAATTACTTAGAAAAAAAATTAGAGCTTAAAAACATATAGTAGAAAATATTTTATAAATTATAATTTAAATTTTTAAATACCTATCTGATTCAGAATCCGAATCAATAACTTCATTTGTACTGTCATGAACTTTCATTTCCGAAATGTCATTTACTTCATCTTTATCAATAGGTTCAGTCTTGATTTCAGATTTCACATTTTTGAGAGAATCTTTAGAATATTTCATTTTAGGAATAGCCCAATCGACTATCATAGCTCTTTTTAAGAGAGGTTGCATATTTGCATAATGTATAGCCTTTGCAGCACTTTGTACAATATTAAATTGCAAGAATGCAACTCCAGTCGATTTGCCATTGGGCTCAGTTAAAATTTTTATTTCCTCTATTTCACCATATTGGGAAAAATGTTTCTTCAAATGATCTTCTGTAACCTATAAAGAGATTGTTATGAACATTAAACATAATAGAAAGTATTAAAAAAAAAAAAAAACATCTTTCACAATAGATAATAAATACCTGAAAAGCTAAATTTCTTATTACAATCCTAGCTCGTTTTTTCTGTTTCTTCATTTTTTGAAATTTTCTCCTCTTTTGTTTTTCAAAATATCTTTCTCTTTTGTAATCTTTTTTTGTGTACTATCATCATTACTTTCTTCCTGAGCATCTTGAGAAAGTTGTGTTTCATTTTTGTTAATTTCTTGATCTTTAGCAAAATCTTTCTCAAGTTTCTCACAAAACTTGGATTTTGATATAGCCCAATCGCATTTTATCTTTCTTCCTAGAATAAATAATATATGTTATATACAGAGTATCTTAAACTTGCGAACTCTTTTTTATCCTATATATCAAAATCATATTTTTTAAAGCAATCAAAATCCAGTATTATAAATATTATATACCAAGAAACTCTTTTTGGCTGGTATTAAATATTGCCTTTGAAGCATCTGCCACATGTTTAAAGTGAACAAAACCACATCCAACTAGATTTCCATCTGAATGCTTTAGAAGATTTATTTCTCTGATTTCACCAAATGGCTCATAAAATTTTCTTATATCTTCCTCTGTTGCCTAAGAAAATATAATTGTTATATAATCAAGTAATTGCATAGACATATAAAAGAATGAAATTAAAAAGTATAGAACACATAGAACACTATTCTTTCTATTATAATAAAAATAAACAGATAAAAATAAGCAGAAAGTTTTTTATTTTATATTAAGTAATTCTACTTTCTCAAATTTGGATTATTAGATAGATACCTTAAAAGGTAAATTCCGCACTATTATTCGGGAATTCTGACCATTGGCATCTGCAGGATCAATCACATTTCTTTCAGACTTTTTATTGGTTCTTTTCAATTTTGCCTTTCTTCGGTACATCCAAGATAATTTTTTCCCTTTATCATTTCGTCGTTCTAAATAATACAAATTACATAAATTAAATTAAATTATCAACGTTTTCGAAGCGTTTATTAAAAATCTTTACCGTGAAATGGTTTGCCCATTTTTGACTTGAGTCGTCAATTACGTATGTAGCGGATCTAGTGCTTTGCCCGGAAGGCTGCGCAGGCACTGCCTTGCCAAGGAAGGCCGGTTCGAGTTCGTCACAGATCTGAAAGGCAGATGCGGGCAGTGAAACTAAAACGCGCTACGATTTGAATTTCGACCGTCGCCAGCAACGTCGCCAGCGAAGATCTGACTGGGTCACTTTTATTACTGTACACTCAATCAACAGGACTAGAACGTGTCAAAGTCATAACGCCGAACGAACAAAGACGCGATATTTACAACGATCAAGAAACCAATAACACAGAACGACGAGGTCGCACGTACAATGCCAGCAAGGGCACCGCGAACACGGGAACAACGCGTGACAATGTTATTCTCACGTAGCGTACAATGCCTGCAAGGGCACCGCGGACGCGGAGGAACGTTCGAGAACTAACTACTAGAAACGGTATGACGCAACGAGCAAAGAAAAGAAAGAACGTACGGGAAAATATGTCGCTCGCAGAGAAGAACGAAGCGCCTGAAACGCACGGCGCGTGAGCGCGCAAGGCGCTCGCAAAACGCAGGGAAAAACGCAGACTAAGACATACGACACGGACGGAAGACAGGACGGCGCGCGTTTGCTAGCAAACGGAATGCGGGCGCGGATAAGACAGAGCGCACGCGAAAATACATGACGACATAATTATGAGCGCGAAAGAACAACGGAACTGGGTGACGCGGGTGAACGCGGAACGCGGCTGCAACGCCTGCAAAGATACGGCTATGAACGTCACTCGCGAGCGAGAGAGAACCGCACAGTTGACCGCACTGTGAACACTCACAGGCGCGAGAATGACGGAACATGACTGGCCATAGAGAGACACCTCTCACGCGTGAGAGAGAGAGCAAGGCAAGATCTCACGCGAGTAAGAAAGAGAGAGCACGAGCGCTCTCGCGTGTGCGCGCAAGCGAGAGAGGCGGAGGCGCACGCGGAGCGAGAGAGGCGGAGGCGCACGCGGAGCGAGAGAGACAGCGCGCACACACGCAACAGGCACGGCGCGACGCACGTGGTCGCGCAGAGCCGGCGAGACAGACTTTCGACACACCACAGCTTTTATCGCGTACACGACACTCTACACTGCGCGGTCACTGTCACGACCGGTCACAACGCCGCGACACAGACGATACCGGGGGCCCTCTCACTCTCCACCAGACGTGTGGCTGCCGCGAAACCGCCGACTGACTCGTTATGGCCGACCGAGTTACTGCGCGTGGTAATGGCCGACGGGGAAAGCACTAGATCCGCTACAACTTGGTGACCCCGACGATGATATGAACACGCAAACCTTTCTGATATCCACCCATCGAAATACAGACACGGCCTTATAAAGCCCGCTGCTTTCGATCACGTGACTCTCCTTGGCCAATCATCGGACGCACTCGCTTGCCGAGATCTCTCACACATCTCCCTGTCGACGTCCATACGGCCAGCCCACATCACAACCGGTACAGCCAGCCAATCACTGGACACCCTCGACTTTCAAGGTTACGCTCCAACCTCACTGTCGATGTCCACATGGCTCGCCCACGCAACGGAAAAGCAACTAGCGCACAAGAGTCGCAGCGGCAATATGCCCAGCTCACATCGCGCATCACATATCTCCCTGGGCAGCACACCGGACAACGGGCACACAGAGAAGAATCTCGGAGCTTGTCCACTAAGGGGGGAGCCTGTGGCGGTCCCCCGCTCACACAACTAATACCTAGCAGAAACATACACGAAAAAGAACCGTGGCCCACCTGGCGCAGTGGTAGCGCTCGAGACTCATACACCTGAGGACACCTAGGTTCGAATCCCACCGCGGCCAACATCTTTTTTCCGTCACCAAAAATTCTACTATATATCGTGGACAACGCTCCTCCAACACACCAGCCGCCACACGTATATTGAATAAAATATATTCTACAATTGAGAATAAAATAATACCAAACTCAATTGCAAAATGCGAATCGTCAATTTTATAGGGATTGATTTACAATTCATAAATCTCACGAATAATATTTTTTCTTTTAAATAATTATCTCGCACATTTGCACATGATGTTTACGGTCGACATTAGAGGTTAGGATCACCACGCGCTCACAATCTTCATTCTGCTAATCTCGAATATAATCGATCGGCTGATCGATCAGCTGATCGATCCTCAATAAGCATCGAATATTATTGAGATCGATCATACTGTTCAGATACTCTCGCGTGCAATTCAACGACAAGCAAAATCGACAACAATCATCGTTTTTGATATTCGATACATTTTAATACGTTTTAGAAAGGACAAAAGTCGGAAAAGAAAAATATGTATGTGGATCCCTAGAAATTAGAGATACAATAAGATATAATAAGAATAAGGGAATGAAAAATTAAATAAAGAATTAGAGAAATAGAAAATTATTTTCGAATGAAAGACATCTCGCTATTCCTTGATTGTATTAAAGCATGATTTCTCATATGTCAAAAAATTAAATTTTCTAACCCTAATTGTCTACATTTATTCTTCAAAATTCTTTGTTCTTTGTTCCTTTTATTCTAGATTCTTAGGACTCTTTTGAGCTGATTCGAAAGAACCGCGGCGCCCGTGGCGCCGTCGACGGCGATTCGGCGCATCGCGCATGCGCGCGCGCGGGACGACGCGGTACGGCGCGACACGGCGCGCCAACAGAATCGATACCGCGCGCTTCGATAGTACCGAAGTATGGCCGAATGCGGACTCTCATGTCCGCTAAAGACAAAATAACGAGGAACGGCAACAGCAGCGAACGCGACATCAGTGCAGCAACGTCAGCCGCGGCATTATTATGCCCGAGTCGAAGGTGTTGTATTGTCTGCTTCTGTCGACGCTATTCGACGCGACATCGCAAATTCGGCCGTCGCTGCACGGCCACAACAATGGTGAGTTTCTCCGTCTCTGTCTCTCTCCTTCTCTCTCTCGCGCGCTCGCTCGTGCTCTCTGTCTCTCTTCCCCGCATGACTTTCGATACGACCGAAGCGCGATCCGCATCATTCCGTATCTAACAATAACAATCGGACGTGTCGCACGCGCGAATATGCGCGAAATCCCGCGTCGCAGAGACGCGATAAGGCCCACTGCCCCGCTATCGTTGCTGCTATTGTCACCATTAGTCTGGCTTAAAAGCCTTTACGATCTCGCGCGATATTTACCGCGAGGATGAAGGTCACGTCGTGCCGCGAGCTTTGCGCGCCAAGCGTTCGTCAACTTGTCACGCGATCCGCGAGTCCGGCGAAACGCGTCTCTCTCTGTCTCTCTCCTTTTTTTTCTCTCCTTTTTTCTTTCCGTCTCAAGTATTTCTTTGAGAAAATCACGATAACCACGATAACATAGGAATGATATAACCTCAGCGCGGCTTGTCACGACTGACATGTTTACGTCGTTTACGTCGCGTGCGATGTATATCCACGTTCTAAGTTCTGTCATAGGGATTGAATAACATTTGTCACGATGCCAGATTAATTTTAAACGAAGAGGAATACGTGCTGTATTAATATACAATATATAATGACTATTTATTTTGCGATTTACGCGTGCGTTTCTCAGAATATCTAGTTTTTATAAAACCAGATTTTTTGTTTAACTCCGATTGAATTTTATTATCGAAAATTTATTTATTATTTATGATTATTGTGTATTTTGTTTATTTTTATTATATATCTTACGAGCGCGCCTTATATATTTTTAATTATATTTTCTCTCGATCAAAATTACATATACAGAAATTTCTATATATCTAGAAATTTAAAGTTCGAATGTTTTTATATTTATATATTTCAATTATATTTATATATTTTTTTAATTTAAAACTATATTTATATGTATTTTTGATATAATGGTATATATTTAAATTATATAAGTTTGACATTTTGATATTTTAGCCTTTGTTCAGGATGACAACGACGTTCAATATCTTTTGGATAATATGCCAATATCTATGCATAAGGTTAGTAAATAAATTTATGCTGTATGCAGTGCATTATGCTATTATGTGTTAACTGAAATATTTGAAAAAAAAAAACTTAATAAAGGGTACATGATTATATTATATTTTAGCTATTAAAAAATAATGAATAATTAATTTGTAAATTCAGCATTGATTAAATAATAAATCTTTATTTGAAATAGCAAGAATGTTATTATTGAAATTTTCTTTTATTTGTAGGACTTTGCTAATACAGTACATGGAGCTGGGTAAGCATAATACTTATTAAAATAACACTGAAAGAAAAGGTAATTCATTTTAATGTTTTTCCCTGATATTTATATTAATTACATAGTAAGAAACGTACTTATAAACTTCTACATATTTTATCATGGAAGTAAATACAAGTGTTTTGCCTATATTTAGCTATACATTTGATTTGCGACCATCAAAGTTATCTTATTATTGCACTTTTACTTGATTTATAGTTTATAGGATTTACTGAGCTTTGGATGATTTGCAGAACAATTTGCTAACTGGAGATAAGATAATTTCAAGTTTTTTTATGTTTCATATTCTAAACAAAGGAATGAAAAAACTAGAGAATATGCATACATATTTTGGCACTTGATATATAGATGGATTTTTTTCAAGATATTATATAAATTTAAAAGTTAAAAATTATAATTATTGTATAAAATTCTTTGTTTTTGCCATTTTTTATTGTTAATTAAGAGATGTATATATTAAAGCAAATATGCATTTATCTATACAAACTAAAATTAATATTTTTTATATCTCCTATTTTCAATTTTCATTTTAAAAAGTATCATGTTCGGAATATAACGAGATTATTTATTAAACAGTACTATCATATTTTTAAGGGATGCTGTATTGGATGAAGATAAAATGGAAGATTCACTCTCTCATATTTCTTTTGAGCCAAATGTCTTGGATTTCAAAGAGAGGTGAGTATCATTTAGTATATCATCTCAATTCAATGATTGTGAAAGTCAAGTGACAACAATGTAATCTTTTTTCTCTTAGACAACTTGGTATTCCTCACCAAGAAACTGTGATTATGTTTAACAAAGATCACAATAAAACTATACATCTTTCATCGATATCAGGAAATACACGTCATTTCCATTCATCATTTTTTCAAAATAAAGTAAGTTATCAAATGATGGCATGATGATATTTGAATTTCAGAGCAAGAAATAGATAAAATAGGCTCACATAAATATATTTAATGCTTATAATGTTTTATAAAACTGTTTATAAAATTTGTACTAATTGATTATAAGCTTCAACTATTTAATTTATTTTTATCTATTTTTTAACTATTTTAAAAGAAGGTTGTGAATATTTAACTGTTTAGTATTAACATCTTTTTTCCTTATGCCAGGTAATTCCACCACTAGGGAACACTACATTTAATGTTGTGTTTCTTGGTCGAGACGAAGGTGACATTGATACACACCTTTTTATACATACTTCAGATGGGACACTTAAGTATCAGGTAATAAAGAGAGAGGACTTAGTCATAATATTAATATTAACAAATATATATACTACAATATATAACAAATATATATTTTATATATATATATATATATATATATATATATATATATATATATTATATAT